ACAGACGCACACAGATGCAGCCACGTACACTTGCAGACATCACTCAGCTAGTAAGTGGAGAGGAAGGGGCAGGAGGGGAGAGATCGAGGCCCCCATGGTTAGGGGAGCAGGGGCTGGGGTGAGTGGGGCTCTGGGGCTGGGGCACATTGTGCGACAAAGCCATGGGCAGTTCATCCAGAGGCAAGGAGGGGTGCAGCTCCCTGCAGCTGCATGTAGCCCCGGGGGAGGCATGGGGGACATGTGCCCCCCACAGGGCAAAGGCGGACTGCCTGCTACCGGCTGAGGGTCTGCACAGTTCTGCCTTTGCCCCAGGAGCTGTACAATGCTATTGCCACCTGCTGGGCAGGCAGGGGATGTATGGTGCAGCCAGCATGCAGCTCCCAGGGCAAAGTTTGCCCCCTTAGCTGCGCGCTGGCCACACCATGTGTCCCCTGCCCGCCCGGTAGTGGGAGGCACACTGGCATCATGCGGCTCTCGGGGCAAAGGCAGCAGGGCACAGAGCCCTAGCCTGCGGTGGGCAGCCTGCCTCTGGATGAACTGCCTGTGGCTCTGTTGTACAACCTCTCATGGCTCCATTCACGCCGGCTCCTGCCCCACTCCCTCCCTCACCATAGGGGCCTCGATCTGCCCCCTTGCCCCTTCCCTCTCCCCCCACCCCTGCCCTTCCACAGACTTACCAGCTGGGCACTTTCTACATGTACCAGAATAAAAAATCCCAAGATCTGAGGGTTCTGTCATGAGATCATGAGTCAGAGATAATTTGACTTAGAAATCGCAAGTCTCGTGATTTTTTTGTGGGAGTTGGCATTACTGGTGACACATCAAATGGAATGTTTTCCCTATTCCTTTTGATGGAAGCAAGGTCAAAGCTAAAGCTTAAGTCTCCTTATATCCTATTTAAAAATACGTGCAAAGGACCAAAACTAGGTTCTGTGTCTGAAAAGCCAGCATAAGAGGGCACTGCTTAAAGGCAAGCAAAGTCTGTAGCAAGCCCCACGCAGCACAGAATAGTCAGCCTCAGAAGTCAAGTCTGTGGGACAACTTCATAGCTTGCTCTGGAGCCAAACATATTCCAGATAGAATAACGTTAATCAGGAGCACAAGTCTGGACTCTCTAAATTCTTTCATAGTGGGTGAACTTCAACCCTGATATCTCTGGAATTAGTGCTGAGCAGCATTTACATGTCATCCATGCCAGAGGCACAGGAAAGGCCCAGCTGTGTTGAATAGGAGAATATCTGTAGCTAGGAAGTAAAGAGCACAAGGACAAAGGAACAAATTGTGGCCTTAGAAGCTAGTTTTCCATCACAGCACAGAGGCAGCAATATCCCATACATTCCCATGCTGCCCCACACTCATCCCTGTGTGCATGAAACCTGAGGGTGTGTTTCTTTTCTTTCAGGGCCCGCATGGACGGCCTGGACAGAAAGGAGAGATTGGCTTTCCTGGTAGACCTGTAAGAACCTCTCATAGTTCACCTTTGATTTGGTCTCTGTTCCTGTCAAGTGCATTGTTTCTCCAGATGAAGTGCTCCTGTTGTTCCTCTCCCTAGCTGATGCCACCTGCTTGTAGACTCCCTGGATGGGAAAGCTGTGGCTCAAAGAAATGGAGGCAGCTTCCAGCTCAGCTAACATGAGGATGCTGGGAATGCTGGTTTATACACCTGGGCAGATGTAGAATTTTGAAAAGTGGGGTGCAGATGGGAAGATGCATTATCATACACAAAAACAACACACATTTTTTCCAGTTAAAAAGAAACCAGAAGCTTTACTAATATGCTAGGAGCCCAGGGCTGGATTACTCACTTTAAGATTGAAGCAAAAACAAATATAACTCTATTGGAAAGAATTAAAAACAATCTGCTGGGCTGTGATGTAGAAGCAACATTCAGAGGAACTGCTGACAAACAGCAGAATTGCAGAACAAAGGATAGCGTGGTTGGTGGAACATCAAGACCATTAAAAACAAGAGAGGGTATGAAGTTTAGAAGGTGACAGGTAGATTGTAATGAGCCATGAAATCAAGTGATTCCTTCACTTCTGTCTGGCTAGAAATGCTGCTGCCACTGCCAGGCAGTTGATTTTAAACTTTGGGTGGAGTAGAAATCAAAAGGGGGTGCAAGTACACCCTTTTCTATACTAAAAAGCAGAATTACATGAACCTGGCAGACCTTGAGGGTAGAAAACTTTTCTGAATCTTTGAGGGTTTGTAATCCTCTGCCCCAAGATATTTTGCTGTCTGACTTAGAGTAGTGCTGCAGGGTACCCCCTGAGACACCATCAGCTGCTCCCCTGACGTGTGATACCTAGTGCCTCACATTCATAGCGTTTGTGTCTTAGCAGAGCAGCTGTGTAAGAACCACATCTGAAAATGTACTCCTGGTGTTTTTAGAGGGTGAACAAACTGTGAGAGCTGTGCTACACTGAAGTCTGAGAGTGTGGGGGGTCCATAAGAAAATCCTTTCTCCCCAGCACCTGGCAGTGGGGAGGAGCCCAGGTGCTTCTGTCTTCTCCAGTGCTTCTGCTGGGTTGGAAGACTAGGAGGTCAGGCCTGTCAAATGAGAATAGGCTTTGTTTACAGCTAACTTGCTCCCCTGCACAAGACCTTTTGAGTTGCAGTGTATCTTGTCAGTGTCTTCAGCTGGCATCAACACAAGCAGTATCTGCAAAAACACTGTCCTGTAGGCCCAGGGACTGATCTGTGCTTTTTATCCTTAGGGTCGTCCTGGCATGAATGGGCTGAAGGGTGAGAAAGGTGACCCTGCAGACCCTAGCGGAGGGTTTAGTTTACCGGTAAGTGCTCACTGGAGTGCCTGCCTTTCCCAGGGTGCTGCAGCTGGCTGTGGAAATGGCTTCTCTCGCTGCTGTTTGCACCTAATTAAAGGCTCCTTTGGTCTAAAGAGATGTGATCCCATGCAGAGAGAGAGAGAGATGTGATCCCTGCCTCAAGGAGCCAGCAGCCATAGGCCAAGAGAAGTAGCAGCAAGCAAGCTGAATGAGTGAAGAGAGTGATTTGGAGAGGAGCTGGAGGGCTGAAGTACTAGGATGAAGCCATGTCTGTGCCCATTTTGAAGGCACAGAGCTCAACTCATTGTAATAGAAAATACAAACTTGCTGCTTAGGGGCATGATCATTGGTCCTGGGTTCTCTGCTGCTATTTCCCACCATAGGCATATGCCAGCTGCTTTGTAGAGTGTCATTTCTGCTTCTATCCCTCCCGACTGCTGCATAGCAGACAGCACAGTGTGTGAAAGGAGCAGTGCCAAGTGCCACCGGTGGTTTGTTCCCTGGAAGGCAGTATTCATGGCACTACCACCATGGCTCCCCCTTCCCTCCCCTTTACTACCAATTGTCCCAGACAGTAATTTTTTCCCTTCTGGACTCCCACAAGCCCAATCTGGTGCATCCCACCATGCTCCACTCTACTTTGCTCAACCCCCACAAGGGTAGCACAGTCATGTCCAACCCATTCCTAGTTCCCATGAACGATGCGTGCCCTCAACGGTTGTGGGGCATGGCGGTGCTGGAGGCAGTGAGCGGGGAGCTCATATAGGTGCACGTGCACCTGTGTGCACCCCCTATATGTCGCCGCTGCTAGTTCCTGCCCCTGTGTCAGACTGAAATCAGAGCATGGGCATAAAAACCAAGGTACCACAGGGTGAGGGTGGAGATTTATGATCCTCAGCCTCTCTCTGCTAACTGCCCATGAACACACTCTTACCCCACACTAAAGGAAAGCTAGCAGTGGCAACTCACCCTTCAGTGAAAGAGGATAAAGCTGCCCAGGCTAGATTCAGGGTATCGGTGTTCACACATTCACTGTTCCACTCCCACTCTGATCCTTTCAGGCTTTGGTTGCTCCTTCTACTGCAGGGAGTCAAGAATAGGTGGCCTCCAACTCTGTACCTCAGCAACTTGCTGATCTCTCTGGGAAATACAAATTTTCCTCCCTTGCCTGAACAAACCCCTTTTCCTCCACTGAAGTTCAGTGGTTTAGTTCCTTAGCACCATTGGACGGAAGGCTCTGTGACCATCAGTCTTCACTAATGTAGAGTACTTAATTGATTTAGGTGCCATCCCTAGACAACCAAATCCTCAGTCTTACAGGGGCTGGGCACCTGCAGTTCCTGCTGGCCTCAGCTGGGGTGATAGGTATTCAGCTTTGAAAACCAGGTCTTGGACCATCTCAAACTGATCCAGAGAAATAGAGGCCACATTTCGGAATATGGATGCAGGTGAAGAGCTGTACTGCATGCAGTGTCCCTGCTGCCTGCAGTGTTCTTGTAGCAAGGGGGTCACAGATAACTCTGCAAAAAAGAGTACAGCTGTGTTGTCATGTCCCAGCCCCTCCTATAGTGCATGCTTCATTAGGCTGATTGCATGTCAGACCAGGCTTCTCAAAACAAATCAATTCTTCCCTCTCTGCAGGGTCTTCCAGGTCCCCCAGGTCCCCCAGGCCCTCCAGGCTCTCCTGGCAGCATAGTGCCCGTCTATGATGGTAACGTAAGTAACCAACCTTACACTTCATCGCTCCATGCTGCAGTTTGGATACACATAATGACCAGGACAAGAAACCTTAAAGGCATCTCCTTGCCCCATTTACTCCCCAATTTCAGCAACATAGAGGGCATTTTGATTGACCCGTGTGAGCCCCTTTCACAGGAGCTGGTGTCCAGCATTAGAATAATAGAAAATGGTGACCAACAAAGACAGTGCCACTATCTGATTTCATGATATGGTGCACTTTGGGTTAATGACTCAATAGCTCAAGGTATTATCCAGTGAAAGGACTGTGTATAAGATACTAATACAGCTCTCCAGAGCAGTCATCCACATATCCTCCATATAGGACTAGGTGGAGGACAAGTGCCTTTTAGCAAGTGCTAGTTAGACACCTGGAAACTCTTGTGTCCATCAAGGTGTGGAGAGAGAGCAGGGCCTGTGATCCCCTCAATTTCTGAACAAAGCAGATGAACTAGTAAGGGGGGGGAGGTGCTCCTGGCTGACAGCATCTTTTTACTAGAGCCTGCTGGTTTCAAAAGGCCAGCTGACAGCACCCACTGCCCAGCATGAGGGCATCTTGATCCAACTTTTGGACCATCACAAATGGAGCATATAACTTGGCACCCAGTCATGATGAATGTGGAGTCATTAATGAGATACACTTTTAATACAGGAGGTCATTCTACATTGGGAAACAAAGATAATAGAGTGAGCTGTATGTGTGGGCAGAGAGCACCCCACCAGCAGTGATAGGTTCCATGCATGGTACACTGCATCAACACATTGCTGGGGAGACCCTGACTGTAGCATGTGCTAGTCGATGGCTCTGCAGCTCTGCCTGGACAGAATGTGTCATAGGCCTTTCTTGTTTTTAAAGCTCTGTTATTTTTGTGTTTTCAGGCATTTACTGAGTCAGGCCCTCCCGGACCTCCTGGCTTGCCAGGTAAGAATATACTAGTACTTGGAAGAGTAGTGAAAGAGGAATGGAGTCTTGATTTTGCCAGTGAGCCAGTAATTAGAGCACTGACTTGAATGACTTTGGGAGACTTAGCCAGAAGGAAAGGGGTGGGATTTTAGAAAGTCCCAGTCAGGAGAGGTAAAATCAAGATGTTATTTGGAATGACTTATTCTCTTAAATTTAATCTTTATCTGGATTTTACAGTGATGGGCTACAGCTAACTACGGTAAAACCTGAATGAGTGAATGTGTTGTTATGTCACTTTCCATGAATATTTTCATTGTTCAGGATTCATTCCACGAACATTTTCAATCAAAAGATTTTGAAAATGTTCATGGAAAATGACAATATGTTACAAAAAGTTCATGGAAAATTATGATAATAGACTGGGTTTTCAACAAGGTGAAAATTTTCCGCCAGCTACTCCCTGCAAAGCCCTATCATCTTCCTGCTCCACCTGCCCTTTTTGCTTTCTTTTGAGCTCTTCTCTGCATCCTGGCTAACACTGCTCTGCAAAATTCTTGGGGCAGGAATAGTGTACTCCTGCTGTTTTGAGAGCTGCGTAGCACTTGCTACTTATTTCCTGCTGGAGGATTATTCCTTTTGTGTAGTAAAGAGACCTTCAGCTGTCTTTTGGGAACCTCAGCTATACATGTGGAGCGAGGCTGCTTTGACGTACTGTAATTACAGTGTATCAGAGCAGACTTTATTAATCGAGTCTGTTGGAGCACAGTAATTACTGCACTCCAGCAGACTCTAGTGTTGTGTGTCAGCATCCCCATGCTAAAAAATGGTGGTGGGGGCATTTCAACTAAAGTTAAAGTACCCCCATCGCCATTTTTCAGCACAAGGATGCTGATGCATGTGATGCTCCAGGTGCTTTTAATTAGAGCAACTCTTGGAGCCTCTCTAATTAAAGCGTACCCACCCTACTCCCAGAGCACATGTATTTTCCCAAAGGTGCAAAAGAGCCTGACATACATAGAGGTTATCTATGTCCTCTCTGGGTAAAAACAGACATTGGGTTTATCCTGGGTCTGATTGTCCAGACTTGCATAAAAACAGGTGTTGGACTGTCATTTATACACAAAGCTTGAATGGCAATTAACTTGCATTAGCCACAATTGTCCTGGGTACAAAGTGTTATCTCAGTACTTCACAGATACTTTAAGTGGGACTTAAAGTGGCACTTACAATGTAGGTCTCTATGATCCCAGGATACAAGTCTTTGTCCCTACCTGATTTTAACCTCGAGTCAGCCCTTATATTCAAGGATAGCTTTACCCTTTAGCGAGCTGTTCCTCTCAGCACTGAAGGGAGAGTGTCCTATGGATGGAATACTCTACCTCTTCCTCTGCTATGTATCACTGAGTGGTAGGCACATTAGCTACCTCATTGCTTTATGGTTTTAAGAGCATGGCAGGAGCCATAAAATCCCTCACACCTGTGACTGGCTGGGTTCACAAAAGAATATAGGTTCCATTGGTTTTAAAAAACACATTTGAACATACATTATCTGCTGTTAGGAAAGTCATCATTTGCCTGTAGCTCTTCCCCATCTTCTGCTGTGCTGGTGAGAAGAGAATACTGGGGTAAGGTGGGTGCAGAGAAAACAGTCATTTTCACTTTTTGCCACTAGATGTTGCCATAGCCCCAGTCTGTCCTCTCCACACTTTGTTTGATGTCCAAGCCTGTGAAGACAATGTCAGTGCTTTCTTTGGCAGGTTACCAGGGTGTCCCAGGACACAAGGGTGAGAAAGGAGACACAGGTGCCCCAGGGCCCCCAGGTAAGTGAGCTTCTTGCAGTGGACAGATCTCTGACTTCCTGTCTGTCCTAGGCTGAACCAAGGCTACAGGAAGCAGGATCCTGCCTGGTGGCTAGATGAGTGTGTGTGTGTGTGTGTGTGTGTGTGTGTGTGAGAGACTGCAAAGAGCAGCTTGTTTGCCAGTCTCAGAAGGACTGGCTGGGCATAGCCAATGCAAGCTGGAGGGGATGTTCATGTTCAGGCAGATGTCACTGACACCTGCTGGCAGTGAGGGACACCATGCCATGCAGCCACTGGGTCTCTTTGCCCTGCATTGTCTCACTCTGGCATCCACACTCAAAAAAAGGTATTGCAGACTGCTTCTGTGCCATGCAAGTGGCCATACATGGCACAAGGGAGAGAAGAGGTTCTGTCTGGCTGTGCTCTACCTTAACTTAGCAGTCAGCTGCATGTGTTTTATCAGCCCCTTTGGATGTCCTTGGTTGGCTGACTTGGGTTGGCTTAGCCAGTCAGGAGTATCCCTTTTTCCATTGCTCATACAACAGCTAGCTTCTCACCCATCTGTGTTGCAGTGGGCCCCTGGGCAGGGTCCAGCACAGTGAGGAGAGACTCCTCATTCCCTCCTCTCCAGGTTGGGACACGGTTGAAGCATGCTGCTGCTGCTACAGAATCATTCATGCACAGCCAGACTCACACCACCAGAGTGTCAGACTGCCCTGTAACCTCTGGGTCACATCTTATGGGCAATGCCAGACATTGTGTGGGCATAGAGAGCTCACAAGGGTCCTAGCTAGACAAAACAACCCTTTATTTGGGGCCTACTGATTGCCAGGTTTCTCTTCACATACAGTAACGTAAGGCAGCAGCATCTATGGCTTTTCTCCCTAAGGGAGTGTTACACAGTGGGTGATCCCAAACCATGAAAACCAAGTAACTTCTGGGCTGCCAGATTTCCCAGCCTAGCCTCTGGGCAGAGATGTCCTCCTACTTAAGAGATGATCCAGCCCTTCTTGAAGGGATTAAACCCAATGGGACTTAGCTGCACCCATATGCATCCACACAGCAAGATTCACCCCAAAGGATTTGCAGAGCTGACTGCTTGGTCTCCACAGGTCCCTCACTCCTCATTGCCTAGAGATACCTGTGTGCGTGTATGTGCTCCTGCATACGTTGTAGCTGCGGACACAGTGAGGAGTACTAGTGCCTGTCTCCCAGCCTCATTCACTGGAAAGGTTGCAAGGTGGGCAGTGAAATAAGGAATTACAGGATGGGAAAGAAGAGTTTCATGGTTAAGGCACTGGAAAGCTGCACTGGAGTCTACCCCTGCCTCTGCCACAGACTTCCATGTGTGAGGCCAGGCAGATCTCTTAAAGCAGACTTTTCCCAGGCAATCATGTATTTTGCATTCAGTTTCTGGTCTCTGACTTGAGATGTTGATGTCTGATTTGCAGAAGTTCTGAGCTCTCACAGCTACCATGGCTGTCACTGGGAGCTGTGCTCTGAACATATCTATTACTATATAATGCTATATGCTCTGAGAAATCTAGGACCTGATTTTTCAAACTGGGTACCAGAATCAATTAGTGGATACCTTTGACCTTAATCTCCCTGTGCTTCAGTGTGCCAGCTGGAACATGGAAATGATACAACCATCTTGCCTCGCAGGAGTGTTCTGAAGATAAATTCATTAACAGCTGTGAAACACTGAGATAATATAGTAATAAACAGCATGGATAAACAGGCCAGGAGCTGATTAATCATTCTGTCTTCAGACCAGGCTTTGGACAGGGGGCAGAACAATACAGCACTGGGGACACATTTAACAGGGAGGAATCAGCACAACATTAAATAGAAGCCTTTTCAGTGAGCACTGTCTGTGCAGTACACTGAATGAGGCAAGGATCCTGGGAAAACAATAGGATGCAATTGTGTAATTAAGGGCTGTCTCATAATGAATACAGGGGGGTGCAGTTCAAGGCTGTACAAGTAACCTGAATTCTGGCACTTCCTGACTTTTGCAACCTTAATAGTGTTCTTTTAACATAGGATTTACACGTGTGTATAGATGCACTTTTGCAGGTGTGTATATATATGGATGTGTAGCAAATGGGAGGCGTGTGATTTGCTTCCCATAATCATTTGCTATGCAACGTTGTATTCTACAAACACAGAATTAACACAGAGTTGTTGTGCTCTGGGTTTATTTGCTGTGGTACAACATGAACTTATGGAGCAGAGCTGATTTCTCTCCCTAGTTGACTCGGGACCCACAGTTCTGAATCCTGTTAACTTTAGTGTGTGGGACTCAAGTTGCCCCCCGCCCCAGTGAGGTGAGACAGAAATGCCAGATGGTGATGAAGCTAAGAGAAGTGTTTGAGACACAATATAAGGGAGCCTCATTGGGGAGTGTGTACTACCCACTCTGACAGTATCCCCTGTTTGTTCACAGGCCAGTTCCCTTATGACCTCAGCCGATTTGGTGCCGCTTTTCGGGTAGGTACATGTTCCAGTAGGGCTGAATCCTGCTGTTTCTCTGCGGTCAGTGGGATTCTTGTGTGTGGTAGCACTAGCAGCAGGCACCAGCATGAAGTGGGTATGGTGCTGGAAGGAGTTTGGGGTTATGTGTTGCCCATCTGCAACTGTCACTGCAGACTGTGGGAGTCTTTAGTGCAGTGGCTGAAGAGCCATGTGACCATTCACACTGAAAAGCAGATTATAGCTTCCATGGCACAGGAATCCAAACTTCCACAGCACACAGATGTCAAATTGTCCTGCCTGAATCACATGCCCTAAGAGGAGTGGCAGTACCACATCTGGGGCTGATATGCTCAGAGTGGATCAGCTCCCTACAGCCACAAGCAGTGGCAGGGAATACACAGTGCCCCAGGTCATGCAACACAGTGCAAGTCTGTCAAGCCTGTGAGCTTTGTTGGATCCTGGTCTGTTCGGTCAAAAGTGACAGGGTTAATCTGCGGGGAGGAATTCAGCATGCTGCTATACTCAGGTTTGGGTTGGATGTGATCTGTGTGTCAGGCGTTCGGCATATGGACAGGCTGCAGTAATGATAACTGCCTTCCTTAGGGTGAAAAAGGAGAGCAAGGGGACTCCGGCTTAAAAGGCGAAAAAGGCGAGCCTGGTGGGGGAACACTATATGGACCAGGCGTTGTTGGACAGCCAGGTCTTCCTGGTCCCCAGGGCTACCCTGGTCTTCCGGTAAGATGCCCCTGATGGCACTGGGTGCGGGGCTCATTCCTGAGCATATGCGCCTCATGTGCTCTGAGCACCAAGGAGGCCCTGGGATGGAGTGCGATGTGGCAGGTAGCCCAGCATTATCACCACCCTGGGAGTAGGGGGTGGGGGTGCACTTAAGGGGGAATTTCAGGAAGGTGTGGGGATGGAGGACTAAGGAGAATTTCTCAGCCAGGCAGCAATGGCCACAGGGCCAGCTGGATAGTCTGAGTGAGAAAGTGCCCTGAGGTTCCCTTCCGTCAGAGAATGGTAGTGCTCTTCCCTCTCCCCAGCTGAAGTGGGAGGGAAGAAGTGGGGTCAGTAAGCCTAATGCCAATCCCTTGGAGGTGCGGCACGTGCAGATGGGAGGCAGAGTGTGCTCTGGCCTGACTCTCCTGGTGGAGGGATTGGGGTGAGGGTATGTTGGTGACACAGTGCTGCAGGAGGGGCTAGGACAGGTGTTCTGGGTCAGGGCAGGCTGTGCATTTAATCTGAAGAAGACTCTTATACACCCGTAGGGTCCCAAGGGAGACAGCATTGTTGGCCCACCTGGCCCCCCGGGACCTCAGGGACCTCCTGGCATTGGGTATGAGGGGCGACAGGGCCCCCCTGGCCCCCCTGGCCCCCCTGGGCCCCCCTCCTTCCCAGGACCCCACAGACAAAGTGAGTATTTGCTGAGGATCTCAGCTCACAGTTCACTTGGTGTTTCCTTTGCCCGGGATTTGTTTCCTTGCCCTCAGTTCTTTGGCAGCCTGATATTCATTTCTCATGCCTCCTTTCTGCTCCTCCAGCCTGATCTGGTGTCCCTGTACCTCATACACTCCCTCCTCCTCCACTCTTCCCCCTGCCAGCCTACGAGCATGGCCTGAAAGGGTCCTGAGTACACTGAAGCACCCTTGAGTCTTAGTCTGTTTTTTCTTCCAGCCAACGTGGTTGGCCCTCCTGGCCCACCAGGGCCTCCAGGACCTCCAGGCACCAGTGGGACATCTGCTTCCTCTGGGGTAAGATGGGGATGTGGAGGAGAGAATGGTGTTGTGCATGCTCTGGAGCAGGGGCCTGCCTGTGCATCTGTAATTCCCAGGGTTGTACAGTGGAGGGGTGGATGGAGGTACAATGGGAAGCCCAAAACCAAGGCAGTGAGCTTCAGGAAAGAGTCCTAGCAGCCCTGGCCTGTGGAAGAAGCAAACCTAGCCAAATGCAGAGCCAGGGTCCTATGTAAGAAGCAACACCCCTTAAGAGGACTCTGGGTCCAGCAGGCTTAGTGAGAATAAGCAGTGAGATGGTGAGGGGTTGACAGAGTGAGCTGAAGGGTAAGCTTACCAGGTCATGGAGAAGATGGGCACCTGGCATGGTATCAAGATTTATGTGCCTTTGTCCAGTGCTAGTTGGACCTGGCATACGGCTGCATGCAGGTTGGGCAGTGTGCTCTTCTTAGGCAGGGAAAGCTTTCTCCACACTGCCTGTTGTGTGTTCCAATAGCTGAAGATCCTGCCATCGTATCAGGCCATGCTGAGCACAGCCCATGAGGTGCCTGAGGGGTGGCTTGTCTTCATAGTGGACAGAGAAGAGCTGTATGTCCGTGTGCGAAACGGCTTCCGGAGAATCCTGGTGAGTACGGGGTGGATCTGGCCTATCTGGGAAAACTCCCCTGACAATGGCATTTGTGGGCACACTGAAGTAGGATGGAATCAAGTTGCCTGTGCACGTGGCTGGCTGGGCTCTGGCATTTATAGAGCTGTTACAGTTTGAGTTCTGCTCATATGCTGGCCACCACACCTATCCACGAGAATCACAAGGACGCCCCAGGCATTCCCATCACTGAAGACTAATAGACCTGTACACTGGCAGCTGCCAGCGTGAGTCCCAGGCCTGCAGAACTCTTTGGCATGGGCTGAACTTTTGGTGCTGTGAACAGCCCTGTCAGAGGGCACAAAGCTGCTTGCCATGCATGCTACTGAATGTCTGTCATGTCTTCAGGACACAGGCCTAAGACTCGAGCCTTACACCCTGATCAGCTAGTACAGCCTCTGCCTTACAGTTGGGACCATATCAGCAGATCCAGGTGCAGGTTATGGCCTGATGCTTCCTTTGCTCTCCTCTCTGAGCTGGAGATGAGTTGAAATTTGTAGAGTTCTAAGTGGTGATGAATGTGTCATATACTGTGGGCACTACCAGCTCCCCAGATGCATCAGAAAGCTGCTAGTCTCCATTGTGCTGTTGCTTCTAGGGAAGAGATCCTGCCTCAGATCCGTAGCTTGACATCATGGGTTCTCGCTGAGCAAATGACAACAGCCTCTGACATTTGTTTCCTTGTTCATGAGCGGCTATCATGAGGAGCCTGGCTGATGGTAGCACAACGTTGCTCCCAGAACAGTCAGTATAGATCAAGATTGCAACTGTGGGGGCATCTTTCAGCGCAGTGGCTCCCAACCTTTTTTGCTGTGACCCTAAATCTGGGTTGGACCCCCACCCCCCCGCCGACTCACTCATGCTCAGCGATGCTAGCAAAGCCCAGGCTGGGCTGGGATCGTGGGGGGCAGCAGCAGCAAGAGCCGCATGGACCATGTGCCAGGAGAGCCCCACAGGCGGGAGGGGTAGAGCGAGGAGTAGACCCCCTGTGACCCAAGGTTGGGAGCCACTGTTCTAGCATGTGAGGGCAAGGTGGATTAGGAACAGAATTGAAGTGCCACTTGATGGAGTAGTTGGCAGGAAGGAAGCCTCCTGCCCCCGCTCCTTCCCTGGATCTGCCGTGGAATTAATTAGTCCATGAGGTGAATCCAGTATTTAGGATGCATCTCAGCAAGGCTTTTCTCAGTCAGTTCAGTTCAGGCTCCCTGCTTTCACCCTGCGTGGGTTTGTTCCTTGGCCCACATGCTGCCTGCTGAGTTGGTGTTTTCAGCTTCTGCCTTGTTTGTCTTCTGGCTCAGGGAACCTTTTTCTCCCCCCCCACCCCCCCCCATACACATGCACTTTCACAAGTGGCCCCATTGAAATCTCTGAGACACCTGCCATACCTGAAGTAAAGTCTGGGCTTAGCCAGGTGGACTTGAAGTTCAGGGGTGGGGAAATGTCTTGTCTGAGGGGAGCTGGAGCATGTCACCTGCCGTGGGTCTGTTCTCAGTGTTTGTGCTCTAGTGTGACTGACCTTGCTTTGTTTCAGCTTGAAGATCACACTGTGATCTCCAGCACTGCGCTGGTAAGTGAACCCTTTCCCCTCCTCCTAGGGTACGTCTTCACAGCACAGCAAAACCCAGCCCAGCCCAGGGCCTGCAGGGTTACCCAAACCCCTGGAAACAGTACAGCTGCCTTGCCATAGTGCTGCACCTGGGCATTCGGCAACCAGCGTACACTCTTGCCAGCCCTGGAGTGAGCATGTGCAGAGCCAGCTTGGCTTTGCACCAGCCAGAGAAGCCCCTAGTGGCAGTGGAGTCAGGGTCCTGGATTACGCCCCAGGTCCACAGAGCCATCTGCTAGAGGCATGGATCACTGATTGCTCCCTGTGCCCAGAAAGAAAGCCCAGCTGAGTGTCTCTGTTTCTCCTGACCCAGGACAACGAGGTGTACGACAAGCCACCCAGCATCCACTTTGCACATGGCAGCTCTCCCTCTTCTGGGTCACAGCCACATGTACCCGTGCACCCGCACCGCGATTACAACACTTACGCCACGGTGCGGCCCTGGGGAGGAGACGACATCATTGCTAACCACCACCGCCTGCCCAAGCAGCCCTCCATCCACCAGGGAGCACAGCACCAGCAGGAGAATTTGCATGACTTCTATCCAAACCGCCGGCCAGAGGACACCCCCTCTGCCATGCACACACACCATGACTTCCAGCCTGCTGTGAGTACCTTCTGAGCTTGGGCACCTCACAGGGAGGTCAGATCCTAGAGTGCTCCTTGTTGCTCCCAGCACTCTTCTGCTCACGGGTGGGTCTGACTTCAGCCAAGGGTGACTGGTGCCTCCTGAGTCTGGGGGGCACAATTTGTGGGTAGGCCCAGGGGTGGGCCAAAAGCCCCATATCCACTCCTATGCTTTTGTGCTGTGGCTTAGTGGCCCCCGCAGGCCCCCCTCCCCCCCCCAACGCCGCTGTCCCGCGCGGGAAAAAAACTGCCCTGTCCTGAGTGGTGCTGAGATGGGGGCCAATCTCGCGGGGGGGGGGCACGTGCCCCCCTGTGCCTCCCCTACCAGTCGCCTGTGAGTCTTCAGCACAGGCAGCAGCAAGGCACCCTGCAGAGGACCTTTCTGGGCCCTGTTCCCAGGAAATGTCCTGACCCTGCATCAGCAGTGGCCAGAAGGGTAATACTCTGAGCATTAGAGGCAGGACTGAGGGCCTTGTCCCCTCAGCCATCTGCCAGCCTGTTACTGTCACACAAGCAGCTCTAGGGTGAAATCACTGGCCACAAACTGTCAGAGATCTAGGTTGGGTTATAAAGAAATGATAGGGCAGGAACTGGACCCCCAGGGTGTAAAACAGCCTGACATTGCAGCCCAGAAGCTAAGGAGCTGAGGGCACTGGCTAGAGCTAGCTTGCATCTTACCCCACATCCCAGTGTGAATCCCAATGTGCACCAGCCTGTGCATCTTACCCTACATCCCAATGTGCACCTCCTCTCCCAGACCTGCTAAACACCAGGCTTGGCACATGGACTTGTGGTCCCTGCCAGCTTGTGGAGTCTGTGAGGCAGGCAGCCAGGATGGATCTCCTACAGGCTCCTGTCCAAAGAAGTGTGTGAACCCCCTGCTCTGTGGGGTGGCTCTAGTGGGCTACTAGTCAGTGCCTGAGCAGTGGGAGGTGGTGGGAAGGATGGGGGTGGGCATCTGGGACATTGTTGTCTGTGAGTTAAGCCAGGTATTCCTGCCTTCTACTGACAGCTGCTGGTGCTGGGTGGGTCCTTGCCTCCCACAGGGTGCTGCCAGTGGCTTCACAGTAAGTGACTGCTGTGTTTGGAGCTTACACTTGGCTCCCACTGGCACACATTACTTGAAGGGGCAGAGTGCTCATATGAAGGAGCAGGGGACTCAGTGTCTGCTTCTGCTGTGTCTCTGTGGCATGGGGATTATAGTCTCCAGCTGGAGCGTGTTAGCCAGCATCTATAGGGCCCCTTCATCTGCGTTGTTTTTCCAGCTCCACCTCGTGGCTCTGAACACCCCCCTGAGTGGCAGCATGCGCGGCATCCGTGGAGCTGACTTCCAGTGCTTCCAGCAGGCCAGGGAGGTCGGACTGACAGGCACCTTCCGAGCCTTCCTCTCCTCCCGGCTGCAGGACCTGTACAGCATTGTGCGCAGGGCTGACCGGAGCTCGGTGCCCATTGTCAACCTCAGGGTAGGCATGTAGCTCAGCCTTTGTGGAGGGAGGGCAGCGTTCAGGCCCCTTTATCTCAGCGTGCTAATGCTAGTGGAGAAAACACCAGGAGCAGTGGCCTGAGGAATGAGCTGCAGAGGCTTCCAGACTGGCCATGCCGGCAGGCAGTGCGCTGCTCTAGGGCCAGCCAGCAGTCCTGCCAAAATGGGATCAGTTTTGCCAAGTCAGTGTGTACCTGTTTGGACACCGCCTGGGAGCCCAGCTCCGTTTTATCTGGGATTGAGTCAGGGTTTGAATGTGGGCCTTTTTTAAGCAGAAGGCTCGTGTTAGTGAGGGATGGGCACAGACATGTGATAACTTTTGCCCCTTATGACTACAGCAACTGACTGCTGCCATCATTGGGCAACTCCCTTCACTTAGCCAGGTCACCTTGGGCAGTAGGGTCTGATTAGGCCAGACACTTGGCATCTCCTGCACAGTACTAAGTGCCCATGTAGGTACATGGGAAAGAGGATGCTCAGCACTTCATAGGCAATACTACATTTGGAACTGCTCAAGACTGAGTGCACAAGCTGATGGAAGGGCAGTCCTCCTTGGTTGGTATACAGTAATGCAGGAAGGCCATACTTATTCTGGATCAGCTGTTTGCCTTCATGGACAGCTATTAAAGAGCAGCTTGTGCTTGTACCCTTTCTGGTTCTAGGCTAACTTCTCCATGGGGACAACCCTTGGCATGATCAGTGCCAAGCCTGAAGTGGACAAGCAGTAAGTGCATGGACAGACAGATTGAAAAGGAAAGCCCTCACTGCAATGGGTATGGGCTGGGCCACAGAGATGTAACCATACCTCAACTTTTTTATTGTTGCACTGCTGATGACTGGCTCTTCTCTTCCCCAGGATGAAGTGCTGTTCAATAACTGGGAGTCCCTGTTTTCAGGCACGGAGGCGCAGCTCCGAGCTGGTGCTCACATCCTCTCCTTTAATGGAAAGGATATTCTGAGAGACTCCACTTGGTAAGTGAAACAGCGCTGTCTTTGGGCCTGTGGCTCTGGGCAGATGTGTATAGTGTAGCTGGCAGGGGGAGTTCCTGCTATGCTGTGGACACCTGCAGCTGCAGGTGGCCTGGACATGTCAAGAGTGTCAAGTGGGTGAAAGGGCCTTGCAACATACCACAAGATGCCAGCCTCACCCATGCCCTGTGTGGATACAGCAGCATGGCACTTCACTGTGTTTCAGGCCTCAGAAGAGCGTGTGGCATGGCTCTGACTCCAGGGGGCGTCGGCTGACCGAGAACTATTGTGAGACGTGGAGGACTGACAGCAGTGTGGTGACAGGGCAGGCCTCCTCTCTGAGCTCAGGCAAGCTTCTGGAGCAGAAGGCAAGCAGCTGTCAGAATGCCTTCGTCGTCCTGTGCATTGAGAACAGCTTCATGACCTCTTCCAAAAAATAACCCTGGGCACGAAATGCTGGGAGGAGGGGACCTGAACACATCTGTCAAGGGCTGGAGGGGCAGCCGGCTCCCCTGCACAGCTTCTGCCTTCATGCATCGATTCCCAGATATAAAGCCAAAGAGTGTTGTGATAGTTTTAAACGCCAACCCGGCGCTCACTGTGGTGTCTCTTCTCAGCAGCCGCACTCTGACACAGGGCTTGTGCACTGCGGGCTGATATGGTTGCCAGAGGAGTGGCCCGGTAGGCTTACTGGATATGGCAAACTCCTCACGTTTGTCTATGTGCCGTGTTCTTGTTTCTTCTTCTGTCTTAATTCCCCTAATATTTAACCACTTGAGTTATATTCTTGCATAAACTCCCCCTTGTTTCCCTATTTGTTACCTTGCTTAGGATGCTTTTTACAGGGAGGGGCCCAGTGTTGCCCACAGGAGTGCATACCGACAATGCCCTTCACTGAGTTTTTGGAAATCAGCAAGATGTTCTTCATTATAATAAGAGGCCTGATTGGAAAGTGGCTGCTCAGCCACTCCTCACACTGCAGCTCCCCACTTTGTGGGGCTCTCTGGCCTTGGTCTCTCTTGTTAGGAGCTGAAGCAACAAGCAGAGCACCTCGGTAATGAGGCTGTGCTAGACTGGTTCATGGTGATCCTTGGGCCTTGGTGTTGCTGGCAGCGCATCCTGGTGGAGGCAGTTGTGTGAACAGAGCAGCTCTTAGCATGTGCAGAAGGTCCCATGAGGAGACCAAATATCCAACCTGCATGTGTGTGTGTGTGTGTGTGTGTGTGTGTCCCTGGGTGGAAACCACCAGGACCAGGCAGGCCCCCCATGAGAGAGCTTCCATCTGCTTGGGTTGGGCCTGCAGGTTAGCTTTCTTCTCAACTTTGCCTGAAGAAGCCAACTGCCTCACCTATTGCTTATTCCCCACTTCCCTGGCCCAGCTTTAGGTATGAATAACCAGTTCCTGGCTGGGCGTGCCCAGGTTCCTCTCCACTTGCATGGGGGTCGCCAACTTCCTGGATTCTGCTGGGTCTACCTAGTTTGTAAGCCTTTCTGCCCCTGCTGTGAGTTAAGAAGATGCTCCTCTTCCATAGCACTTCTAAGCTGTCAGGGGTGCCCTGTCACTGACCTAACCCAGGGCCTTTCTTTCCAAGGCAGAATAATTTCATTGTGAAGAAAGGTACTTTGTTCCCTCCCCAGTGTAGGAGGATGCCCAGACATTAGGGCCTGTTGGGCAGACCTGGCCTTTTTGAAATTGCATCAGCCAAGGTCCTGGCCTAATGCTTTCGCCACTCATTCCTGTTCAGTCTCAGCCCTGAAGGCCCTGCTCCTTTGACTCATTTCATTCTGACCCAGACCATTTCAGAAGCGCTTTCGCTTGTGTTCTTGGGTCCCGAAGCCTGCTTGTGCGTTCTGATGCCCTAACAGCTTGCCACGGGTCGTGATGGTAAAAGTTCTCACCATGAGGTGAGGGCATATCAGAAGTAGGTACAGAGCCACACATCATTCCCAACGCTTTTTGTGTCTTGGTGCATTGTTGTTACTAGACACTGAGTTGCTAGGATTCTTGAGGGGAGTCTTATGGCTTGTGTCCAGTTTCCCATGGCAGCTGGCTGGACAGCAAGGTGAGAGGGAGGATCTGTTTTTTACTTTTCCAGAGCATTTGCCTCCTGGTCTTGGGCCTCTTTATTCCAGCCCTCCTAGACTTAAGTCAGCTGTTGCTGATGGGAAGGAGTGGAGGTCTTTTTTTTTCTTTTCTTCATGCTTTCCTTTCTCCATCCATTCCATCCCCTTGTTCCACAAGAGGGAGGTTTCCAAGTCTAGCAGCATCCAGATAAAATCTGCTCTCTGGTGGTTTGTCCCATAGCTAGGGGCTCTGGATCCCTTCTCCTAGCCCCTACCTGCTGTCCTGAGCACAGTTGTCTTGGTAGTTGAAAACATATAGTCTCTAGGACAGGTGCTGCTCCTTATCCCATCTGAGCTCTAATTCCAGCATCCAGAATCCAAGTGTACTGGAGCTGGTGCTACATGCCTTGCTTGCCCTGTTGCAGGGCCTGATTTTCTTGCTCGAGAGGCACGCACCTGTTTGCTGTGCCTGCACAGGCAGGATGCACTGCACTGTTCTTCTAATGCTAGTGTAAGAATTGCTCCCAAAAGGCCTACACATGGCTTCCAGTCAGATACCTGCTAAGCCAGGCTCCGCCTGTGCTGTCAGTGCTCTGGTAGGGACATGCCACATCCCGGGCAGTCTGTGCCTTTGTCATGAGGGGATTATTAAGAGCAATGGGAGATTTCATATCAGTGCAGGAACAGGCTACTCCCAAACCTGCATATAGTTTCCTCATCTGATTCCTTAACATTGGGCTGGAGAGGCCATTTGTTTGGTAAGTTTAAGTGATCAGATTAACGAGTAACTTGTAGGGTACTTAGGAGCAGAAAAGGACAAGAGAATATAATGGGTTATGACTTGTATGGGGGATTTGGGTAGAGAACACATCCTGATTTCCATTCAGCAGCACAGGGCACTGAATCCCACAGTTAACGTGCGTGCGTGCGTGCGTGCGACTGACTGACTGAGTTGACCACTGTGTCTGGGCATCTTGTGTTAGCACCAGAGCTGGGAAAATGCTCCCCTTCAAAGCCAGAAACCTTGAACACACTTTCATGTTACGTATGTACTTGTTGAGCACTAATGTCTAAAAGATTGTTTAAATCAGTTTTGAAAATCTGAGGTGCTAAATTTTTACCTAGCTTTTTATTATTGTATTGAAATTATTACCATAAAAGTTGTGCAAGTCACACAATTTCTATTTCTCATTGTCTACTGTATTTTATGTAATTAATGCAATTTAAAGCCTGTGGATCTTTATATTTTTGTCAGTTGTGTTCTATAAACCATTTTCTAAAGGCACTGAATAAAGGAAAGTATCCTCTTTTACTCTGTGTACACTGAAATTGCTGTTGGTACCACACCATCTCTCATAGCTGTGGATGGACCCTGGGTGGGGTGACACTTCCCCTCCGCTAAGGATATAAATGGGGGTAGGCCCAGGCCTGATAGAGTTCCCCTTGCTACAGTGGGGTCCTGGCATCTCAGGATCTCCCATCTGGGTTCAGAGCTGGGGCCTGGGGGGGGTCTCCAAGTCACTTTATGCAATTTGACTGCAAGGGCTCTCCTGCCTGGGGCTTGAATTGGGGCTTGGGGAAGGGGGCATGGGAAGCCAACCAAGAGACTCTAGTCTCTTTGTGACATAAAGAGCTGTACCACACTCAAGGTGGCACTGCCTCTCAGTCTTACCTAAAGAGACAGACCAGGAAGGAAAAACTATGAGCTCCTGGACCAGAACCTAGTGGCTTAGGCACCAGATCCAGCCTGCAAAGGTCTAATATATTCCCCTCTGTAGCTCTCCCTGCTGCTCTCACATGCCTTCATATCTGCTTACCCTCCCTACAGAGGGGCTGGGTATCTGCAGCAAGGTAAGGACAGAGGGGAAAATCAGAGATCTGCAGCCCACAGCATGGGGCCAGGTTGCAAGCTCTGACTCAGAGAAAAAGATTGCCAACCCCTGCGCAAAGGGATTAATTACAGCAGCTACTCACCACACACAGGTGGAAAGGATTGTGCCTGTCCAACAATCCCATACCTGGCCAGGGCCAACCTGGGATTACAGGGCCTTGTGAGCCCCTCATTCTGACCAGGTTCAACAAACAGCACCAGGCTCTTGCACTCACACCACAGAGCAGCCAGCAATGGGAGGGTCTGGGTCAGTGCTGCCTTTCCAGCAAGACACCAGCCCTCAGCACTCGTGTGCACTCACACCACCAGCTACCTACAAAAACAGCCAGGCCTGCAAGGGCAACTTGCCACTTTACTGCAATTCTCACCCCAGGTGATGTGTGGCTATAGGCCCCTCTTGCCCTCTAGCACTTGGATCAGGCTAAGGCAGCCCAGGGGATTTATACATGTTAAGGGAAAAGTAAAAAAAGAAGCGTTTCTAGCACTTGTGGTGCTGGGGAGAGGAGCTTGCGAGCATGACTGCTTAAGGCTTATAATAAATCCCTGCGCCGGTGTCATTCCAACAAAACAGCACTGGCTGAAACCGAAATAATAATCTGGGGGTGTGGGGCTGGTCACACTGAACGAGCAGCATGTGACAGGGAGGGGGAAGACGCTGCATGCGTGTCTGTCTGTCCACTGGTGCAAAAATCAGGAAAGCTCCCTCTACCCAGCAGGCGGTTGCCTGAACCAGCTCTGGGCAGCCCAGCTGGTTCAGTTGGAAACAGCTCTGTTACCAACAGCTGTTTTTAAACCTTCGCTCTGTACAGCAGTGTCAGCCAGCACTGAGGTGTGGAGCAAATGCAGGCAGCCCTGGAGACAGCCCATGGTGATCAGGCTGTGGGCTTTGTGCAGGTGCAGCCTATGCAGGGCATTCACTATCACCCAGGCCTCTCTGGTCCTCATGTTCCTGCTGGGTGCTGATGTTCAGAGGGAGACAAAAAGATCTTGGTGGGGCCCACATGGTTCCCTGGGGCAACAGTTAGGGCAGGGCACATACAGGCAGGCCCCTTCCCCTTTTGTTCACTCATAGCTTCTCTCAGGCTTCCACACTGCTCAGATCTGAGGTCTTCTCCTTCACTGGCACCTCATCCAGAGGCTTGCATAGCTCCTTAGCCAATGCTGGCTCCTGGGGCTTCTTGCACCGTCTGTGCTGGATGCTCACATACACTGCTGCTGTGAGGTACAGCACTGCCAGCAGCGTGAAGTAGGCAAAGTACACATAGAACTGCGGGACAGGAAGAGAGAGCAGAGGGGATGGGATGTAGCACAAGAACCTGGGCTCAAAGGCACAGGTTGGCCACCAATGCCCTCCCCTGCCCTTGCTTGCTTTGCTACAGGATACCCTGGCTGAACTCTGCCCCTACTTCCCCTCCCTGCAATCTGTCCCAGAAGCAAAGCCTCAAATATGGCTGACAGGGCCTAGCACACGCTCTGCCCAAATATCCCTGTGCAAAGAGGCCAAGCACAGGCGAATGTCAGCTCTGGAAGCAAATGGGCAAGGGAAGGGATAGGATGCTGCTTATGAGAGTTGCCACAGCACGGGATGAGCAGGCAGGAGCCAAGCCTGGGGCCCAAGGGTTTCGGCTAGTTTACCTGGCCCATAGCTACATGCTCCCATTCAGGGGGTGGCTGTGTGACTACAAGCAATGGCCACAGGGGAAGCAGGATAACCAGCCTGGCCTCAGCTCTCTATAAGCAAAGCTCAGGAGTAAACAGGCTGGGCAATGCAGGGCAGTTAGCCACAACCTCCCCTCCCCTCAAGTCCCATGCTCCGACTGACCTGCTTTCCTTTTGCCTGCCCAGCTACAAAGCAGCCTACCTCCGGGGTTCAAGGCTTGGCTGTTCCATCTAGCTCAAGTACGCCCACCTAGCAGCCATGAGCCTGTTCTTCCCCACCCAGCTCCTACAGACAGTGCCCCTCTGACACTGTGCCCTTACCTGAGGATGCACGGACAGGCCCAGGCCTCTCTTATCTGCTATGATAATGGTTATAATGGTCTTCAGAATGGTGGCAAAGAAGGTGTTGATGCCAAACACGAGGGCACAGAGCTCCTTGGAGAGGGAGGTGGCAATCTGGAATCTTGTATGAGAGAGATGGGGGGGAGGGGGCAGAACATTAATTCAGCTGATTCAGGGAAAGGAGCTCTCATAAAAATACTCACCAACTTTCACCCTGGCCAAGCTGAGGCTGCATGGCCTAGTGAAGCGCCCTGGAATATCCCATTTTCTGTTCTGAGTACTGAGCCCCTTCTGATTTGCCGGAGGGCTAGGCTCACACCTGTCTGACCGCGTAAGTGGAAACTGTCCCTCCTGGTACGTAAAGGGACTGATGCTCACCCCCTGCACCAGCCAGCCTTCCTGGCACTGATGCTAACACGGAACATGTGATGCTAACAGCACCCCCCTGGTTTAAATATAGAGCGCTCTGTTGGAAAACCTGGTCTGTACTTGCTGTTTCAGCCCTGCCTTTTCAAGGGAGGCCAAGTCCCTAAGTATGGCTCGAGTGCTCTCTCTCTGTACTCTAAGACTGCCCTTCAGGCAGCATTTAAGATGCTTACATGCTAACCAAAACCAGTTGCAGCCAGGATAATGCAACTGTGCCCATGTTACCAGTCAGGGGAGCCAGCCTACGATGGCCAGAGCAGGAATCTCCAAGCAGGAGGTACTCACATTGCTAACGGAACCAGGAACTGATAGGAGCCCCTGAACAGCACATATGCTACATAGCACAGCCAGATGTTACTGGTGGAGGTCATCAGCAGAAGAAGCCCTGCCTGGACTGCTGTCACAGTCCCAATCACCAGCTCCGACCACAGCTTCCAGCGGATCTTCACAAAGCCAGCAGCAAAGGATGCAATGGCACCTAGGAAGACAAGGCAGAGTAATGCTGCACTGCCCAGACACAGTGGCACCTGACTGCTGAGTGTCTTGCCTGGCTAGCCTTTGCCCTGGGGTGTTTCAAAGGATAACCAATGCTGGAGTCACTAGCAGAGAGCCAGAGATAACACAGCCTGGCTCAAACAGCAGCCAAAATGCACCACTGTGCACTAGTGATAACCAGCTTATCCTGCAGCATAAGCAGCTCTCTGCCCTTAAAAGCACAATGTCAAGGTACATTTGTAATGGGTCTCACCTAGCAACCCTGCCCTATTCAGGGGTTACCATGGCAGGGCCACCAAGCTCTGCCTTTAAAATGTAACTGTGTTTAGCTGGCAGCTGCAGGCAACAGCCTTTGACAGTGGAGGCAGGACAAATGCTGAGCTGCTTGCTGACTCTCTTGCAGGCACTTTCAGGGCAAAAGCCTGCTGAGTCCAGCCTGGCAACATGATTACCAAGAGTCAAGAGCCACAAAGACTACGAAGCCAACAGCTTTCCCCTCAAAGAATCCCTGGATAGAGGTGTAGTGGCAGAGGACTCTTCCTCAGATAAGTGCTTCTTCCTGCCTGCCACTGTGCCTGGCTCAGGTCAGCTACACCTCCCCACAAAATGATCCCCAAACCCTGACAACAGATGGGGTTGAGTTACTGACTGTGGTGCATGGCAGCATAGGCCCCAAGCTACTGGGCACGTCCAGTCTGGTTGAATGCAAGGAGCTAGAGATCTCTCAAACTGCCCAATGACATGGAACAGGGAGTTTAGTGTTCCTGCAAACGGGGGCTAATAGATGTGACCCGGGTGCAGGCTGTGTGAGCTGCCACACTGCTGGGATCTTTCATCTTAGTGCAGGATAGTGGCACTTGTTTCACTACAGGGGAGGATTTCAAAGCCACCTACTTAACCTGGTGCAAAGCCCTTGTATGACTATCCAGATCCATGGGCTGACAGGTGCCCATGACTACAACTATATGATTATGACAGAAACAGGTTTAAAATGAGGCTCATTTCAGCTTTGCTTGAATCAATTCAGAAAGGACAAGGGGAAGCTGAACTGTGCCATTCTTAAACCACTCTTCTCCCAGGGGAAGGCCCTCACTCTGCCACTGCTCCTAGGGCCTCACCTCTGCCATTCAGATCTGAGACCTGCCGGAGGTGGGTCTGCTGCAGTGCTGAGTTGTGACACTTGGTGCAATGGCTCAGGAAAGGAAGCCAGGCTTCTGTCCAGATGGGAACTAATCTGGGCTTCTGTGCTTTGTCAGAGCACAGGGAGGCTGCTGCAACACATTCCTGAGGGATTAGAGCCCAGGGCAGGACTGGCCACTTGGGGATGTACTTCCCAATGTCCTCCCCACAGGCCCCTCCAAAGACAACTCTTCTGCAGATGGACTGCACTTCAGGTAGCTCAGATGGAGACAACCTGCTGTTGCCTGGAGCAGGAGAAGGACAACAGAAAAGCCTGGAAGCCAAGAGGTGTACGTACCAAGTAATGTTGAGGCAGCATC